TTGGTTCAACGTTGCGATCAGAAACATCCCTTGCCCTCGACAAAGATGATGGTAATGACCAATTTCTAGGTTGTTCGTAGCGCAACAACCAAGCAAGGTGATGTGTTCTAAGGTTGGTTGGTACAAGGATTATTTACAATGCACTATTCTATGGAGCAGCTGTACTGGTGGGTCCCTTTTTATTGCTACCCTTTTTTGGGTTGTTTAAAAAATCGATTCCAACTAGGAAGTGCAGTCTGCTTTTGGGACCCGATTTGTTGATCCCCGGCCGTGTTTTTTTTAAAAAACAGAGTTTGGGGGCTCGGAAAGTAGGGTTTTTCTTTGAACCGAGCCCCGGGTTGTCTCAGTGATTGAAATTCGCCACTCTTTGACCGCCGGCTTATTTGTTTCGGTTCTGATCTTTTACGGGACCTGTTTCCGATGGGATGAGGGTCCGAGGGGGCGGGCAGCTGAGGTTCTTCTCGCAAGTTGTCCTTTCAAATGAAGCTCTGGTTCTGTTCAGCCAGCAAAGAGCAGCACGAGCAGCGAAAGATGTTGACTCTGGAGTAAAAGCTGGTGGAATGGCTGACTATGGCACATCCCTCTATGAATCAAACTAGGCTTTCCTCCGCAAGATTCACGTGGAACCCCCAAAAGCCGGGGGGGCCACCAAGTCACAGGGTCTCCTTCTTTATGCCTGTTAGACAAACCCAGTCTGCGGAAATGTCGCAGTCCTCGGTCTCCAATGGTTTGCTTCAAGCAGAGCAAGCTACAAGGAGCTGGTGCAGACATGCACAAAACGCGTCGGCCAAGCCCCCCTTATGAGTCCTTTTTTTTTTGGGGGGGCCGCCGAGGTGGCGATGCAGCTGCAAGAGCTGATGCCGCCGGGAAGTTAGCATCTGGGTTCGGGGCGATATTCTAATGGTTGATTCTAAACAGGTAGCTCCTTAGCTCCCTATATCCTTCGACTGGGGGTGAGGTTGATTCCTTTTCCATTCTTTCCAACCATCGTTCTTTTCAAAAACCGATCGCTGCTTCCCTGGGTTTCCGGCGGTTTGCTAGAAAGAAGGATCCCTGGAAAGAATTTGGAAGGTAGCACTAGAAATATCCTTGTTCCCAGCTCAGCGATTCGGAAGCGAGCGAATACCTCCTTTACTTGTTTCCAGACTGTGAATTTGTACCAGATTGGGTGCGAAGGTGGACACTTTTCCTGAACGTTTGATAGACATGTTGCCTCGGACTTTAATAAACAACCATGTAGTCCACCAACTGATGTCCACCAACTGATGTCCAACAAAGGGTCCCTAATGACCGTTAATATGCTGCGGTATTTTGTTGCTTTTTGAGGTTTCTCCGCTGAAGTCAGTCCTACACCGTTTGCTGTTCGGAGTGTTCCTTCGCGGGGCAAGACCTTCAAAGGTTGGGGTTCGAGGATCTGAAGGAAGTTGCATTCTCCGAATCTTTCGCAGAGATCCTTCTGTTGCGTCCCTGCTGTTTTGGGAGTTTGGGCAGCACCGCAGCCCAACACCATAGGGCTTTGCGGAGTGAACGGGTCGTTCTCATTCACGCATGGAGCGGTTGCAAGCCAGCATTTGCATGTCCAGACGCCTGTTTTCCAGTTTTTCGGACTCAAGGAGCAACTTGAATGGGTTGTTTTGGCATGCCAGGGAAAGGCAAGCACCTCCCCAATAGGTCGGCCTGATTTATAGTTGAAGACCAATGTGGGCTTTCTGTGCCAGGGAATTCCTTTGAAACGATCAACTAGTCGCGGGGATGGCCATATTTTTGATATTACTAAAAGGGAGATTTTCTATAACCATGCAAAGTAAGAGAAGGCGCCTGGAAATGTTTCAACGTGGGCATGGGTGGCCGCTGTTTTTCCACCCCAGACCCTGCCTTTTGATCTGCAACTTGCTTGGGCTGATGGAGGGGTCAACAAAAACAGGGATCGTCCTTGGATGTGACACCGAGCGCATGGGCCCCGCTGCCGTTTTCAGCTTTTCCAGAGCTGTCAGATTTTCTCACGCTGAGAGGTTCACAGAGACTTGGTTGTCTCCGCTTCATCTTCCGCTTGCAAACATCGAACTATCCAAAGAGGGAATTTTTAGGGGCCATTTCCCAGGCTGCTCTCCCGAGTGGCGTGACTAGACGCATGCACCGCATGGGTATGGATCGCCCTTTTGGAGTCTCCATGTTTGCTCCGAATCTGACCAAACCACCTGGCACTTGGCAAACAGGGGCAGCTCAATACTTTTTCATTTCCCCCCCTTTTTGTTCTCCATTTTTTCAAGGGCAACTTCCTTTTTGTATTTATTATTTCAAGGAGGGACCGCCGAAGCAGTGTTTCACGGGCTCCCCGAAGAAAAACACCACGCCGAGCCACCCATCTCGATTTCCTTAGGGCCCGTAGGGTCCTTGGACCAAAAATTCTCGAGCGCCCTTTGCGGCCATGGCGAGGCCGATCCATGGGCGGTTGGTTCGGGTTTTAAGTCGGCTCCGAGTGCCGCTGAGGCGCGTTTGTTGGTTTTGCTCTTGCGTGAAGTAGGGAATGTGGAGAGGCTTCCCCTACTAAAATAGACAGATAAAAATCGGGGGGGGTACCCTTATTCTAACCTCTCTGGTAAAAAAACCTAGTGGTTGAATGAGCCCAGGCGGCCAGCAAAAGGAGCCCACAAGTGGGATGCTTTTCAGGGTTCCGAATTCAAGAACAAGGGGCCATTTGACCCGAGAAACAAAAAAAAACAACAACCTGTCCTGGGGGATTCCGAGCTGCCAGGACCGACTGGGCAAGCCGCAGTAGTCAGCCAAGCTTCGGTGGGTGTAAATTAGTGTAACTGTCGCAAGTCATGGAACAAGGGGAAGCCTCTGTTGAATCGCCACTTGCAACAGGTTTTTGTGCAACATGTAGGAAATCCCATCGTTTTTCCTTGCTCTGTTTCTCCGGGGTATTCTTTCGATCGATGGTCTTCGGAGCAATCCTATACTCCTATAGTTCTTGAAACTGGTTCTTTTCTTGTGACTCGGCAGTATCTCGGGCAGCAGTTCTAGGTCCCTCAGTAGTGCCCTTTATTGATCTTAGTGCTCTTCTCTACGTTCTTTTTTGGGGGAGGGTTCCCCTACTGAAAAATAGACTACAGAAAAATGGGTACCCTTATTCTAACCTCTCTACTGGAGGACCTAGAGGTTCAATAGGTTCCAATTTGCTTTTCCCTGCCGCCTCCAGTTTGGATTGACCGTTGGCCGTCGTGTCGGCACTGCAGAGGTCGAGAATTGGCCCCAGAACGGCCACTGCGAAAGGCCGAAGAAAACATGTTCTTCCAGAATCACTGCGTGTTATCGTTGCCTCAACAGCGTCTTTGTGAGATCAACGTCTGTGGAATCTGTCGGCATAGGTTTTGGGTGGACTATCTTCTCTCGTTTTTCGGTGGTATGCTCGGGTGTATTCATTTGCCCGCCTGTTCCTGGCGGTACGTGAATGCCGCAGCCCTTTCCAGAAAAGGACGGCCGTTCCGCCGAGTACGACCGCATCGGCGGCTCTCGGGTCTCGGGTTCCGATGTTTCGACATCTCCTGCTGCCGCTGGCGGCTTTTGCTTCCCCTGCGTTGCGGGGCACGCCCTCGGCGGTGCAAGGGTGCCCGGCGGGCTACAAGGAGCGGGGCAAAGAAGGGGAAGGAGCTATAGGTCTCCTTTTGGTTGCTTGGTTGTTTTGGTTGGTTTGTTTTTGGTTGTTTTGTTTTGTTTTAGTGGGCCCTGGTTGACCTGGTGGAACCATTCATCTACCAGGGCCATCTATCTTCCTCATTTTGGACACCTATGAGAAGAGAGGAAGTTCAGGTAAAGTTTCGGAGATGCTCCGTCCGCACCCGCACTTTGCCAAGTGAATTCGATCCCTTGACCACCAAGTTGCCCAGTAGCTGAGGCGGGGGGGGTAGCTGTCCTGATACTTCCATTTGCTTATATAAGAATATTTGTTTTATTTTCCCCTGATGGTTTTAAAGGGAATCAATTTCACTACTGGACACATTTGTTTAATCTTTCCCAGGGGTCAAAAGCAACTGGAGGGATGGATGCCGCTTGCATCTCTCTCCCTTTGGCTTTTCATTTTGACTACTTTGTACCGAACGGATATGAGCCCCAAACCAAACCATATGTTTCTCCAGAGGGTCAGAGGGTGGGCCGGTCATGCAAACGCCAAGTTGACAATAGGCGCCAGCAACTGTGGCAGTTGCTCATATCTGCAAACGCCTCCTAGCCATCCTCCTGGCTTCTGCGGGGCATCAGGCAAAGGTTCTGCTTAATCCTGGGCTCCCATGATGGAAGGGAGACAGAAATTGCACTACCAGGATCAAGTCACTCACTACAACCTTGGCCTTCCGAAGAAACCTGCAGTTTGTGATTGCCCAGATCAGAGTCGACTGTTACGCTGAAAGAAACCAGGCGATCAGAGGGGGAAAGCCAGACGTTGGGGACGTTGCTGGTGTTCCAGTTCATAGCAGCCGAAGCGTTGAGACTACCTAAACTAAAAGCAACTGAATCAGACTAAAAACAGCTACGGCTATTAGGTATATATATATATATATATATATGGAGGTGTATCGCGCATCTCATGTTGGGCTGTGTATCGCCTTGCTATCGGTTTGGAACGTTTGGAGATACTCTCCTACACGACAAGAATCCTTAGATATGATGCCAATGGATGTGATGTTGATGGTGGCATTTTTGAGAGGAAAGCCGGATCACTTTTGGGGAGTAACACCCGCAAAAAGCAAGCCAATCAGGGTGACTCATCAGCAGGCAAAAACCTAACTGGAGTTGGCCATGAACAAAGCAGTAGTAGTCACAACTTTGGTTTTACGCAAGGGCAGGTCGGCTTTTTTGCTTAGTGCCAGTTTACTTCCCAGAGAAACTCAGGTTTTCACTGGTGCTTTCATGATGACTTGAAGACAACTGCTTCACAAGATCGTTTGTGAGCTGCATAGTTTTTGCCGGGATGCCACACCAGACCCATACAAGTGTTGGTCATGGGGTGGTTTTCAAGGGGGAAGGGTACTTGGTAAGTGGATTGTCGCCATGGTTAACAACTTACCAAGTGCTTATTAAAGTGGTTTTCTAAATGTTCTCAATGGTTTGAGGCGATTTTAAGGCGGTTTCAAGGCGATCTTAAGGTGGTGTTCAGGCGGTTTTAAGGGGTTTTAGTGCGTCTTTACGGTGGTTTTCGGGCGGTTTTTCAGGTGTCTCAAGTTGGATCTTCGCCTGGGCTTCATCTCTTCGATCGTGCCAGGACTGTGGGCCCTGCCGCTGTGTTCCCGAATCCGCGTGCCAGTATTGCGAAGGCAAGGGAGCTGGGACTCGGGACTCACGGGAAGTGACCAGGGCATTGGGTCATTTTTGTGTTTTTATTATTAAAGCTATTATTATTCTTATTCTTATTCTTATTCTTATTCTTCTTCTTCTTCTTCTTCTTATTCTTATTCTTATTCTTATTATGTTTTTGTTTTTGTTTTTGATTTAGGAGGTCTGGTTCAAATCTCCTGGCTATGGTGAATTTTGCATTTTGCCCATTTCTACAACCCGGGGGAGAAGCAGAGACTCAGGTTTTTATTGTGGAGCGAGCCGTGATCCGAAATGTTACGTGGAAGACTTTGGAAACGAATGCGCGGGTATGGGTGAAAAAAAAACAACCACCAGGAGATGGACCGCAGATTTGAGTCCTTTCCACTTGCCAGGGTTTCACGTTGGGCACCTATGTTTTGACCCACACCTACTAAGTTACCTCAAGACCTAGAAATGGCAAACTTGAGGATGCCGCTTTCATGGATCAAGGGGGGTCGACGGTTCGCAAACTCCACAAAGCACCGACCACGGGAAAAAACACAATCGGTGGAGGGTGGCACTGGACCGTCGCTTGCGTCTTCCTGGGAAGTCCGCGGCCACAGCCTGTGATCTTCTGTGCCGAATTTTGCAAAACCTGAGGTTTTGCAGTGGCCAGGTGCAAAGCCGTTTAGAAGACTACATTCCTGTAAAGTGTTCTTGTGCACTTCAATGTGATGTGTCAAAGAGCTGAAGCTGTTCTGGTCCTTCAAGCACACTTTGCCCTCGCCTCTCATGGTTCCACATTTTGCTGGGTTTTATATGGAGGTCAACAAACCAGCCTCAGGTCCATGTTTTTCCACTCCCAATCCCCCAACCCTTCCAACCCCCCCCAACCCCCCCAACCCCCGCAACCCCCGCAACCCCCGCAACCCAACCCAACCCCCCCCCCCCCAACCCAACCCCCAACCCCCAACCCCCAACCCCCCCAACGCCCCCCCAACCCAACCCCCCCGTGCCTTCCGAGGCGGCGTGCCGGAGCCCGTGCAGATACCCACGGACTCTTCTGCGCCGCTGGACCCGGACGAGGACGTCACGGTGCGGCCGTCCCAGGCGGGGCAATGGGGCGAGGCCGTCGCTGGAGGCTTTGGGTTGGATTTGTCGGCTCCGGATCTTCATAAACCCCGGGTTTTTTTGAAATAGATGAAGAAACCCCCCTGTTTGTTCATATGGGGGGATCTTCATAAACCCCTGTTTATTCAAATTTGGGGGTGGGGGGGGGGTGGGGGCCCTCCAAAAGTTGGTCTGAATCCCCCACGAAAACCGGGGACACCCCCATGTTAATAAGCAGAGGTTTATTAATCCGGGGTCAACATTACTCGGTTTGGTTGGAATTTAAGGCCAACCAACTCGGAAAGTTAGGGGCAAGACACTGGCAGCATTTTCTTTAAAACATAGGTTTCCCCAATTCCAAGAACGGGACCCGATTCTGAGAAGCACCCAAGTTGGATTTGTTAGCCAACCAGCGACGGGCCGTTCGCAGGGGCAAGATACTTGCATTAGAGCCGCCCCTCGAGCTTTTTGCTCGAAGCTTCGACTTGCAACTTGTGGGAGTTGAATCGCCAACCCGAAGGATTTCTGGTTCAGTCCAAAGAGGTAGGAAAGAGGACAGGGCACGCCCCAAAGATGCCGACAAAGGTCACCTGACGCATCCAGCTCGGGAAGAAGAAGCATTCCACGTGCCCAGTATTGGTGGCGATTCCCGTTGGGGTGTTATCCGTCTTGAACCAAGGAACTGAATAGCCAGTTTTCTGGACAAGGTGTGCAAATGGTGCGACGTGATGCCGGAAGCCCCTGAAACGGTACCCTGGTTTCCGTGGGTTGGTTCATTGCTGGATTTGTTGATTCCTGAATTCGTCGATTGGCTGGTTTATTGGTTGGTTGGTTGGTTGGCGAAATCGCCGGTGTTGCCAATTTTCCTTTGATTGGTGGGTTGATTGGGCGAAGCATGACTTGGGTTACAGCTGAAATGTTCACTCCCTGACTGCCTGAACTTTATACTTTGTGTGAAGCCGCTTCCTGGCTGGTCCACTCGGGCAGTGAGTTGGTTGTGATTCTGGGTAAGTTGCTGCTTGTTTGATTGTTCGTTTGATTGTTTGATTACTTCATCGTTTTATAGTTTCATAGTTTGTTTGTTTTTGTTTTGTTTATTTTGTTAATTTTGTTTGTGTTGTTTGTCTGTTTGTTAGTTTGTGAGCTTGGTTGTTTGTTTGTTTGTTTGTTGGTTTGTCTTGTCTTGTCTTGTCTTGTCTTGTCTTGTCTTGTCTTGTCTTGTGTTGTTTGCTTGTTTGCTTGCTTGTGTATGTGTTTGCTTGCTCGTTTGTTCGTTTGTTGGTTGGGTGGTTGGCTTGCTTGCTTAATTGACTGATTCATTGATTGATGGATGGATGGATCGATCGATTGATGATTGGATGGATTGGATTGGATTGGATTGGATTGGATTGGATTGGATGGCATTGGATTGGATTGGATGGGCTTTGCTGGTTGCTTGCTTGATTGCTTTCTTGGTTGGTTGGTTGATTGATGTTCCTTGCTTGCTTGCTTGCTTGCTTGCTTGCTTGCTTGCTTGCTTGCTTGCTTGCTTGGTTGGTTGGTTGGTTGGTTGGTTGGTTGGTTGGTTTGATTGAATGATTGATTGATTGATTGGTTGGTTGATTGATTGGTTGCTTGGTTGGTTGGTTGATTGATCGATTGATTGATTGATTGATTGATTGATTGATTGATTGATTGATTGATTGATTGACTGACTGATTGATTGACTGATTGTTTTCGTTTATTTCTGTTTGTTTGTTTGCTTGTCTGTCTGTCTGCCTGCCTGCCTGTTTGCCTGTCTGTCTGTCTGTCCGTCTGTCTGCCTGCTTGTTCTTGTGGTTTTGTTTTTGTGTGTTTGTATGTTTGTTTGATTGTTAGCTTGCTTTGATTTGGTGTGGTTCTGCGGTTTGGTTTGGATTGGTCGGGTTGGGTTGGGTTTGCCGATTTCGAGTTTCCCTTTGCTGATTTCGGGTTGATTGCTTGGTTGTTGGTCTTAGTTGGTTCTGCTTTGTTTTCTTTGCTTTTGTTGCGTCTTGTTTTTGTTGGTTTGTGCGTTTGTTTGATTGGTCGATGTGCGAGTTTGTTTTCGAGCTTGCTTTGCGAGTTTTTCAGTGCTCCTTAAAAGATACATTTTGCCACCATTTGAAGCATGTTGCTTTTTCAACACCAAAATAAAGTTGGACACCGCCATTGACAAGGCACTGCTCAGGTGTATAATGCATCCGGATCCCAGTTGTTGGGACACATGTTTTTTTTCGGTTGTTGGGTTGCAACCATGTTGTTGTTGTTGTTGGTTGTTGTTGACATTCGACTCAGGAAGTGGACTGCCAAAATAGGTGCCCAGTGTCCTTTGCTTTGCTTTGCTTTGCGTTTTTTTGGTCGGGTTGGGTCGGCTGCGACTTGAGGTGCCTGGCTGCCCGGAGGGCCGGGTGGACTGCGGCAGCTGCTCCTGCGTGCCGCGGGCCACGCCCCTCGCGGACAAAACCGAAATGGACCATGGGTGGGGGGCTGTCCCGGTTTTGGTCATATTTTCACCTCCAAAACGATTTTCCCAAAAGAAAAATAATAAAGCAAGGAGCACAAGCAAACAAATAAAGCAGTTATGGTTCATTTGATGGTCACTGCTACATGGATAACTGTGGTAATTCTAGAACTAATACATCTTTGTTCACCTCCAAAATGGATTTTCCCAGAAGCAAAAAAGCCCAAGAAGCGCAGAAGACACAGAAGACCGTGCTTTGCAGCTTACTGTGGATGGGCAAATCAGGAATCTTGTCACAGCAGCTCCCTTAAAGAGGAGACAGATATTTGGAGTTGATGGATTTCCTAGGAGACTGGAGGAGAATTCATCAATAGGCACATCCACATCCATTGAGGGTCCTCACCCATTAAGGGAGGGCCTCTGCCAACGACAGCTGTCTGCACGTGAGGTGCACCTGGTGTCCCGGCGCCGGCGGCAACACGACTTCGAAGGTGCCTTATTGCCCCAAGCGACGCGGCCAGATAATTTTTTGGAGGTCGAGTCGCTGGCTGCGATTCGCTTGCTGCGATTCGCTTGCGATACATGCTACACTCCCACCAAGACTCGCTTGCTTGCAATAGATGCGACCCTCCCACCAATTGAAACCGCCGGGTTTCTGACGTTCGGGAAATGGTCCGAATTTGAAAGGAAGATAGTCCAAACCAGGATCCGCCCCTGGCGGGTTCCATGTGAGTTTGTGCTCGGGTATCGATTCATTCTGCTTGCTGGCAATACCGATTCGGGGGGGGCGAACGCCATGGTAAAGATCCTTTATTTGGGGATACCTCATTTCAGGTAGATTGTGAAATTTGCAGATACATTTTCTGGATTTTGTGATGCATGCTGAGGCAGTTTGTTTCGTTTTCATGAAGCCTGTCACGTATTTCGTGGGTGTAGACTTCGTTGGCTTCCTGCTCTTGCTAATTTGCGCGCGTGCACGGGGACAAATCGGTGGACGACTCTGTCCCAATAAGTACTGAAGAGCTAAGAACATGGGCAGACGCTGAACCAATCAGAGGGCCTCAACGTGATGTGAGCAACTGACCAAACTATTAGTAGTGTTGCTTTGGAGGAAGACATGGGAGGATGGGAAGGACCAACCCCCCCCTCCAATTTCCCGCAAAAAGCCAGGGTGACAACCCCCCCAATTTTCCAATGTCTTTTTAGGGAACAAAAAATATTGTCCAGAGTTCATGGGTCATGTGCGGTCACCTTATTTGGTAGTTGATTCTCATCCGGAAAAGGCTAGTGTCATTGAGCGAGTGTGTCAAAAAATGACAGGTTGCGTTGAATTGCCACTCGGTGAGAACGGACTGCAACTGTCAAGCCCGCGTGACTAACGCCTAAGATGAGGTTTTGTGCTTGTGACTCGCGCTTATGCTATGTTTCCTTGAATGCGACGGGACAGCGCATTCCGGCTCAAGTCATTCCGAGCTCTGGCTAGAACAAACTCAGCCATGGTCCATTTTAGATACGGGTGCTGGGGGGTTGCCCTGCAACAGTTGGGACTTTGCCAGCTACCTCCCCTTCTTTTGGTTTGAAGGGAAAGCACACCAGAACCACTATTTGGGGGTCCCTTTTATTTTTGTAAGGGACCACACAAATAAGTGGTTCCCTTCTGGTTTCTCTTTCCGTGCTTTGTGGGGTGTCAGCTTTGTTCGGGCCGAAGGAAGTTGGCACGCCCCACCCGCTTTCGAGGGGGCATGTGGACTGCGGCAGCTGCCTTTGCGTACCAGAGGCGGGGGGGAAAAGGGGGGTATGATGGACACGGGTCTATTTTGCCACCTGAGCCACTTGCTCAAAACCCGGGTAGGTTAGTAAGGGAGAATCAAACATAAATAGCTGCGGTAGACCATTTTAATACCAGGCTTTGATTGTGACTCACCTTCTTCATTTGGGGTGTTGGTTTTTCGGGTAGGCTGGAAAATAAACACTCAGTGTAGCGAAGCTGGGTGCCTCAAACGGCAGACCGGGGTCGCGCCGCAAACGGCAGGAATCGTGGGCCACAGGGCAGGAAAAATCGGCCGATATGTTTAGCGAGCTCACCGGTTCGGGGGTAAAACGAGCTCACCATGACAAAGGTCCTTTACTTGAGGATCCCTTAACTCAGCTTCTGGAATTATAGTAAGGATTGCAGACAAGTGAGTAAAACCGGGCATGAGAGAGTGGTTCCCTAGCAAAGTGGTACTCAAGCAGATTCTGCATCCCACAAAACACCCTCGGCCACATGCAGCGGTTGCTTTTCGAAGGGAGGATCCAAGATTTGGTAGGGCCAGGAGCCCTTAGACAAAGATGACCAAAGGAGTGTGGTGCCAAACCTCGCAGCCAGCCCACGAACCGGGACCCGTCCGCTTGCTTCAGGACACCTGCGAGTTCTGCCCCGATTTGCCGAGCCAGCCGCTGCCGTCCCCCTTGACGCTGCTTGGCTGCGGGCGAGAAACCGTGGGCATGTTGGCTGAGGGGCCCTTGGAATTGTCACATACTCTTGGGTCCGGATTTCCAGCTCAATCGTCATATGGGTATGGGTCAAAATTTAGCCACCAGGGGACCACAGGTTTTAGTTTTTGGTTCCATTTACAAGGGTTCCAATCTGGGGACCTATTTTTGACCCACAGCCATATTAGAGTACAGTTTTCAGGGTGTCACTTTAAAAGACCCAGTTTTGCCGTTTCCTGGGCAGAAACTTGAAACCAGACGCTCTTCAAGTTTGAGCTTCATGGTGAGCCCATCTCCTCTGCCAGGGGCCGGTGATGCACCGGAGGGGTTCGCACTTTTTTCCTTGGGCGCATCTTGGGCTTGGGTTCTGTTTCTGGTGAGCCCTTTTGGGGTTGGTTTCGGTGGAAACCTGGGGCCGAAGCCCACTTCAGGTGTTTCATATCCCATGCCGCGTTCCTTTTGGCATGCCAAACTTGTCAGGCACCTTGGGCTGTCGCCTGGATTGGTTTGGGGATTGGAAGCCCTCGTTCTTGCAGAGGGCAAGTAGGAAACCACCCCTGAACCACTAAACCAGCAGAGGGGTAAGTAGGAAACCACCCCTGAACCACTAAACCAGCAGAGGGGTAAGTAGGAAACCACCCCTGAACCACTAAACCAGCAGAGGGTAAGTAGGAAACCACCCCTGAACCACTAAACCAGCAGAGGGGTAAGTAGGAAACCACCCCTGAACCACTAAACCAGCAGAGGGTAAGTAGGAAACCACCCCTGAACCACTAAACCAGCAGAGGGCCAAGTAGGAAGCCACCCCTTAGCTGAACTAAACCAATCCAACCAAGTGGGACACTGAAACTTGGCTTGCGTATGGTCATTCCTCGGTTCGGGGCTGGGCATGGGGGCGTGGGGATGTTTGGGCTTCGCCAGGCAAGACCTGTAGATGCTTTTGGTGGTAAGGAACAGACGCACCCAAATGGCTGTGGGTCAAAACCAATGGGATCCCATTTTGGTTGGTAGGTGCACCACCCATTTTACTCTAATTATTTGAGTGGGGATCGGGATGCTCACTGGGGGTACGATCTGGCTTGTGACCCATGGCCAACTGTTGCCATTCGCGACCACTCAGGACCGAACTCTTAGAGGTCAAGAAGGGGTGGCTTTCCCTTTAAACCCCAACCAACAGGTGGGTCCCCAAGACGAGCCACCCATTTGAGGTCAGCCCTGTTCCCACGACCCTGGAGTCGGGGACCCGTTTCCAGGGTGCCCTCAAACCAGAAATCCCTCAACAAAACTGTGGTTTCGGGCCGCCCCCTTGATGCGCTGAGCTTCGAGCTGAGCGTCTCGAGGAACGCCAGCTCCCGCCCCTCCGCGGTGCCGGGCTGCCCGGAGGGCCACGTGGACTGCGGCACCTGCCTCTGCGTGCCTCGGCGTCCGGGCAGTTTGGGTTTGGGGGGGTTCAGCGCTTGACAGGGAGGCCCGGGCGGTGTTTTTGGTTTTCTTTTTTCGGGTTTTGCTTCTTTGCTTCTTTTGGTTCTTTTGTTCTGTTTTGTTTTGTTTTCTGTTGCTTTGGTTCTTTTGGTTCTTTTTGTTTCTTTGGTTCTTGCTTTTTGGCCCTTTGTCACCACGGGCCTTTTCAACAAGGGTTGGGCAAATAAGTTGAACAACTCAATTCTGTTTGGTGCATGGGTCCCCATTCGTACAGCCTCGCCGAATTCGATGCCAGGTTTGGGGGGTTCGTGAATCAGGTGATTTTGGGATCTATTGGGGAACCCCGAAGCCTTGGTTCACAACATCCTGGTCAAGCAGCATGCAACATCCGCGTGGGTACAAGTCGGGGCCCAGTTGCGCGGAAGGGCCAGCACCTTTTTTGCCTTTTCGCGCGAGCAAGCAAGCATCAATTCACAGACTCTTTGAGGTCGGAAGCGCTCGTCCGAGCCTTGAATACCATCAGGTTTCCAGGTAGGCAACCTGATTGTAGGCTCGGACTTGGGACAGTCACTTCATCCTTCAACGTGACATCTTGAGCATAGTTCTGTATCACCCTTTGGAGGCTGTGAATGTATGGCAGTTCCCCGCAACTCCCAGCCCACCCAAGCGGAATGCGGAGTGCGAGCCGGACCGAGCTCGTTGGCCGAACCCCAAAGACCCGCCCCCCCAAAAAAAGGGGGAGCTTCCCACAAGTCTCACAGAAGTTGGAGAAACCCCGGATCCAACACAACCCCGGTTCTGGGTGCAACGCACTTTGTGCTTGGGGTGGTTTTGAGAAATCTCGTCTTTCGGGTTGGTGCACGGAAACCGTTTGCGAGGGTAGGGGTTTCTCTCATTTCGGGCCAGAAGAAGCTGGAGCTGGAGAATCACTGGGGACTCTTGAACGGCTCTCCGCGCAGGGGATTTGGGAATGCGCGCTTGTGAATGGTTGGTGTCATTCCCCTTAGAGGTGGTCCCTGTGTGTTTTTGCGAGGATCGCGCATCTCGGTGCTTGGCGCATATTCCACGATGGAAAGGACCCTCGACATTTTGTCAGTGCCATTGACACGTCTCTCTGACATGAGATCTCCATATTCACATCCAGGTGCCGGAGTCGAGCTGCCGATGGTGCCCAGGTGCCGATGCGATGCCAGGAGTCCCCTAAGAAACCGTGAAATGATGTTTCCCCTGTGAACACCAACAATCAATGAGTTCCCATGATCTCAAAGTGGTGCAGGATTTTGTCCATCCACAGCACGGCCCCTGTGTTTTTGCAGATTAGCCTTGGGGGGGGGGCTTAAACAATGTTTGGTGAATAGGGTTTAAATCTGCCCCAGCAAATGGTGATTTTTCAGCTTTCCGGGCCAACACAAAAGTTTGCAAAATTGCGATTTCTGAGGAAGGAATTCAAGCTCAAACATGGTTTTGGATTGGCTTAAAACTGGTTTAGTACTGGCCCAATTCTATTTTAGTCTTGGGAGATTTGGGGTCTGGGGCCAACATATATATATATATATATAGACTGCTTTTGTCAATTAAACAACGATCCATTGGAGCAAAACGAGGAACATGTGGGCCCATTAGTGGGAGGACTATGTTTCGTCATGTGCTCATCCTCCAAACAAATCTGGGCAGATTGTGACGAGTTGTGTGGACTTATGATCGGGATGGTGCCTTATGGCAAACCATTATCCAAAGCAAGCGTTCTCATGGACCAATGGAGTGATCTCTGGAGCTCTGTCCCTTGCGACTCAAAGGCCACTGTTTTTGGTTGTTTCCTGGCGCCGGTGGGGGAGCAGAGGCTAAGTCTGGGCTGGAACCCAACGTTGGGCTTTGGGTTCCTTCGGGGCGCGCAGGCGCCGAGCCGTCGCCTGCGCCTCCCGCGCCGCTGGTGACGGCGCCCTCCACGGTGCCGCTGTGCCCGGCGGGCTACGTGGACTGCGGCGAGTGCAGCTGCGTGCGCCTGGGGATCGATGGGCGATGGGATCGATGGATTCCCCACCGGAAAACGGGGGAACACGGGGGGAAAACGGGGGGAAAACGGGGGAACACGGACAGAACACGGGGGGAAACCGGGAAGTGGGTCCTGGATGAAGAGGATGTCCGGCTTTCTTACATTTCAGGTCTTGGAAGTTGATTATTGGACAGTGTGCAGGAGAAGTAGACATGGCGAAGCAGTGCACCACGAGGTGCTTTTTTTGAGATGCGCGAAGAGTCTGATAGCCCTTTTGAGATATCTCTTGACTTTGCCACTTGAACGGGTTCCATGTTAACTGGTGGGAGAGTATTCGTTGGGGAGTCAGAGTGGACAGTGGCAGGGAGTTGTGTCACCTCACATCCTCTTGAGGTTTATCGGCGAGAAGTGGGAACTCTCTACATTTTAACCACGCAAACCAGGAGGCAGAGCCGAATACAGCGCAGGCAAGAGTAACTTTTTGGCCGTGGCTCACTTGAATGGAGCAAAGTCCCTATATAGACCATGTGTTTCTCCAGAAGATTGCGGGAAGATGGTCCCCTGCTTAGCATTCTGCCGAAGTCGCCTAGTCCATTTTCTCTTCTTCGTCTGCTTCGTCTTCTTCTTCTTCTTTTTTTGCCGAAACTTCCCGGGTGGCTGGGAGTTTTACATTTGGTGCTTGGTTGTTTCCTGTTGGTTTCAAGCGCATTTACATTTTGAAACGGTGACGGACAGGGATGGAAGCTTTGCTCTTTGGTACCAGCAAATGGAAGTTGCATGGGCCCATCCCACATGGTTCATTAGCATCTTACATCGACTGAAACGGCAGTAGCAAACTTGGCTTCCCATAGGGTTGAATGCCCCAGAACCAGAGCCGTCAGATGCCAAAGACGGGTCGGCTTCGAAGTGGGCTCGCCATTTTCTCGCCTCACGGCCAGGTTTTAAACCTTAAAACGATGCTGGGTGCACGGAAGGCCCACAGCTTTTGATATGGGTTGTGTGGATTGGGCAGGGTTCTCAAGAAGAAGTTTCTGCATTTTTTGTGCGCATCGGTTGACACTGCGGATTTGCCATTTAGGGACACCCATGAATTTCTCCAAAAGGACACCTACTAGGTCCCCCAGTAGTGTCCTTTTACCCTTTTCCCCTACTACAATATACTACAGAAGAAAGTTGGTACCTTACTCTAACCTCTCTGGAGGACCTAGATTTCTTGGTTTGCTCTTGCTGCATGAAGTAGGGAATGTGGTCTAGGTCCCCCCAGTGGTGCCCTTTCTCCCCTTTTAAGACGACCCATGATTTTTTCCAAAAGGACACCTACCAGGTCCCCCAGCCCTTTTATCCTTTTTTTGGGGAGGGTTCCCCTACTAAAATATACTACAGAAAAAAAGGCGGTAGCCTTATTCTAACCTCTCTGGAGGACCTGGACAACACGTTGACCCCAGATGAATCAACGCATCAACCCCCGGGTTCTCCCTCATGTTGGGAACGGAGCCCATGTTTTTTTTTCCAAAAGGACACCTACTAGTTCCCCCGTAGTGCCCTTTTACCCTTTGTCCCCTACTACAATAGACAACACTGAAGGTTGGTACCCTTATTCTAACCTCTCCACTGGAGGTGCTAGAAAGGAGACCAAAAGAAATCAAGCGACTTTATATTTGTTTTTGTTGTTCCAACTAGAAGGCGCTCGTTTAGCTGGGCTTCATGCCATCTACCGCAGAAACCCATGATTTTTTTACCAAAAGGACCGATGATTGTGACTCAGATCTCAGGCACGAGTCCAGCTGCCGCTGGTGTGGCGCGGAGTTTGTCACCTCGACCACTACGGAGAAGCCGACCACCACGGAGAAGGCGGCCACCACGCGGCTTGGCGTGTTTCTTTTTTTGGTTTTGCGAAATCGTTTTCTAGAGGTTTTGACTTCTGGGGAGTTTAGAGGGATATGGTTGTGGTTCAAAACCTAAGGCGCCTGTTTGTGGATGGTTGCCACTCCACTGTTGTCTTTTAGAGGGCTTTCTGGGTGTTCACCGGGGCAACGGGGTTTTGACGCATAGCCATATCTCAGACGTATCACACTAGCAAGGGATCAAGCACTAAGGGAGGAGGCGACAACGACCACGAAGAAGGCGACGACGGAGAGGACGACGACAGAGGCGACGACCACGGACGTGCCTGTGATGACGACACATTGCCTGACTTAGCTCGCCTTTTTAGCTTGGGCTTCGTTTTCCGTTATCTTTTGGCCGCGGGGTCTACTGTGGTCCAGGACAGAGGCAACGACGGAGCCGGTCATGAGCACCGCGCTGGCGACGACCACTACGACCACGCGGCACATTGTGAGTCGACCGTCCGAGGTGCCTTTCTGCCCGCGGGGCTACGTGGACTGCGGCGCCTGCCTGTGCGTGCCGCACGCCAGCTGCCGCTGGTGCCCAGGCGCCTGGTCCTCTCCTGCAGAGCCGGAGACGGAGCCAGGGCACATCGTGTCGAGGCCCTCCACCGTGGCCTTCTGCCCCTCGAGCTACGTGGACTGCGGCACCTGCCTCTGCGTGCCGGAGTCCTCTTGCCGGTGGTGCCCGGGCGCCTGGTCGCCGGGTCCCAGCCCCTCTCCCGGCCCCGGCCCCAGTCCGAGCCCCTCGCCCCCGACGGGAGCCATTGTGGCGCGACCTTCTGACGTGCCCTTCTGCCCAGCGGGCTATGTGGACTGCGGCACTTGCAGGTGTGTGCCACGCTCCTCTTGCCGCTGGTGCCCAGGCGCATTCCAGCCATCACCTTCCCCGTCGCCATCACCCTCCCCGTCGCCATCGCCCTCCCCATCGCCAGGTGGCATTGTCAGCAGGCCGTCAACGGTCTTCGGCTGTCCGGCGAGTTATGTGGACTGCGGCCTGTGCTTGTGCGTGCCGCGCTCCTCTTGCCAATATTGCCCCGGAGCACATGAGCCATCGCCATCACCTCCGCCTTCGCCGAGCCCGCCCAGCACCTGGTCTAATTACGGTTGGTCTACGGATGGCTCATGAAAGCAAAGAATGGCCTCCCGCTCCCCCCCACCCCAAAACTGACAAAAAAGAAAGAACACCAGGCCCTTTTTTTTTGCGTCCTGCACACTCCCTGGAATTAAACAGGAAGCTCCGAAGCTTTTTTTTTTCAAGAAATGTTTTGCAGGTTAGTCAAGAATTTGTGTTGCAGCTTTTATTCACAAAAAACCCATGTTTTGGATAATCCTAACATAGAAGTTCCTGGGGTGTTTTTTGTCGACTTCCGCATTTCAGAACACGAAGCTGACTTCCGACGATGATTCGGGCACCGGCTCCCTCAACCCCCTTAATGACCCTAAGCCCCCCCCCTTCCCCTCTCCTAACACAAACCGAACTCCCCCCCCACACCCCTTCCAGAACTGGCCCAGAACCCTACCTAGGTACAACGTAGGACTGGTAGCATGTGGGGGTGAGATTGACTCGGAACTGCAATGTTTGTGCATTAGCGGGCGGACACACCGTAATTTTAAGCGTACCGGGGAAATGCCGGTTCACGACTTTTCTCAGGGATATGCGAAACTGCTCCTAACAGAATCATAGTTTCCCAATTGACCCCCGAAGAACAAAGGAGCAAGCGACGAGCCTGCACTTCCATGTTAAGCACACGTGTTCTCCTCTACATGGAAGTGTAAGGCCTATGTTAGGACACTTTCGTGGGTCCGAGATTGCGTTTTCACTCACGTTTTTGCTTTTACATGGAAGTGCAGGCTGGTTCCATCAAGAATCTAGGGTTCCTGAAAAAAATCCCGGGATTGTCGTGGCGAGGGGTACCCTAGGTAGCTTCTATGTTAGGAGGTGGTCGCACATTCCCAGCAAAAACAAATGACAGGCATTTTTGCAGGAAAAGACAGTCGAGGGACTTCCACGCTAGAGGGACCTCTGAGAGCATGGACTTCCTGTTTAATTCCAGGGAGTGTAGACGACTGAGGCACAGGCATCGTCAGCACGCCCTCCACTGTCATCGGCTGCCCCGCCAGCTACGTGGACTGTGGCACTTGCCTCTGCGTGCCTGAGTCCTCCTGCCGCTGGTGCCCGGGCGCCACCTCCTCCCCCGGATCTATCGTGGCGCGGCCCTCCGAGGTCGCGTTTTGCGCCTGGGGCCGAAGGGTTGCAGCGCTTGTGAAATCCATGCCTTTGGGTGTTTGGCCCTTTTCTGGTGGCAGAACACTCCTGAACCCCCTCGAGGCTTCCAAAAATGACCACATTGCCAGGCCCCCGGAATCCAGGCCTGAAAAACCAAAGCCGCCCAGCAACCCCGCCCCGTGGTGGGTTTCCGAGGACCCATTTTCAGCCACGCCCAAAGCAGCCAACGACCCCGAAGTGGCTGTGCCCGGTGTGTCCAAGGCCCCTCGAGCTACGTGGACTGCGGCACCTGCTTGTGCGTCCCCAGGTCCAGCTGCCGCTGGTGCCCCGGCGCTTCGGGGCGCAATTTGGCGTCGGAGGCAGAGGGGGGGTTTGGGGGGCGTGGACCCCGGGAGAGGCCCAGGATCACGCTGATTCCCCCTTTTCACAGCCGGGACCGTTCGAAAAAACGGGAGAGGGTCCCATGTAACAGGGGAAATGGTCCGTTCACCGGGACCGATTCGCCGAAGGCCAGGTTTCATGTCAATTGGTGGGAGGGCATTTGGGAGCCCCAAATGAACCCGTCCTAGTCATGTGGTGTGTGTGTGTGTGTGCGGAGTGACAGAATGCCCTGTCACCACTATGAGTAGCAGGGGGCGTGGCGGTCTCCTCGTAGCCACGCCAACGAAGCTATCGAGGATGACTGGATGCATCAAGGGACGCCTTGATGTGTACCTGCACCAGTTTTGCAAATGTCTGTTTGGCCCCCTTGGTTGCGGCGCTGTTTGTGCTTCTTGTTCTTTCGGGTAACGTGTTCGCTGCTAGACGGAAACCAAGTGAATGCAAGCCGAACCTACACCCACTCGAGACTCATCAGTTGTACTCGAGACTCATCAGTTGTACTCGAAAGATTAGCACCCTCCATCTGGAGTTTAAGTGTGTACACCCCATTCATGGGGAATCCTCGGGTGTACCCATTGTGTGACCCCGGGCCGGCCTTGTCGGAAAATTTGACCTCAACGTTCTTATCACAAAACAGCGGAATTTCACATTTAACCAGGAACGAGGTTTCACTAAAGGGAAGACAGCTGTCAGATCATAGAGACGTCTCACCATAGCTGCTGATGGCTGCTGACTTGAACTTGCATTGGCTTGCATTTTGTCGGATTCGTTTCTCTCACCATAGCTGCTGATGGCTGCTGACTTGAACTTGCATTGACTTGCATTTGGTTGGATTCGTGTCTCTCACCTTTGCTGCTGATGGCCGCTGACTTGAACTTGCATTGACTTGCATTTTGTCGGATTCGCTCCTCTCAAGGTTGAGGTGTGACGGTTGTGAGTTGGTTGCGCCACCATGTCTCGACGTGATGATCGTGACAGATCCAGGACTCGGCGCAGACGTGATCGGAGTCCTTCCCCTCAAGCTCGTAAAGCACGCCGACACGAACACAATGACAACCAGGTCTCGGAAGGCATGGATTGGAACAACCTGGTATCCTGGCAACACAATTCCGGCTACAACTCCGCCAACAATTTCCCGGTGATGCCGACCAATTACCAATCGATTCCAAACCCCACGCACCAGTTCCATCATTCACCGATCAACTACATGATGCCAGTTCCTCCAGAGCCCACGCCAACGAAGTTCATGACGCCCGTGATGCCGCCACCGGTCACTCCCTCGCAAGCTACACCATCACCTGGATATCCTGCAGCCCTACCGGTTCGACCTCAGAAAGCCTGGCTTACTCCATCGGCTGACTGGACACCTGGAGATGGCATGCTAGATATCAACCAGCTCTACAACTTCAGCCTGCCCACGACGGTCGCCAACACCCCGCACAACAACCTACGTGACATGTCCGGCATGGACATTCGTGACGTTCGCCTGGTTCAGGTCATTCATGGGGGCCTCACCAACTGGCTGCTCCGACCGTTTGCTCACGGCAGATTCGTGACGTGGGAAGGCTTTCGCACTCGCACCGAGGCCTTACTCTGGAGTACCTGTTCCAAACTACTACGACGATCACAGTCGATCAACCTGCTTACCTTGGAAAAGGACCTTGCTAACTCACTGGGGCTCAACCTGGACGACTTCAATCAGCGGATCAAGGTTCATGACCATTTGGCCAACTTGGTACTTCAGTTTCTTCAGCAACACCATGCAACTCTCACGCCTTCTACCCAGACGGATGACATGGTCAAGAAGTACAATGATCTAAATCGTGCTCATGAGTTGCTCCAGGCTCAGTATTCAGCATCGTTACGTGCTTCGACTTCCCCCACGGTGCCAAGCCAGAAGGATGATGCAGAGTTGGTTACACCACCACCGGTCAATCACACACAATCCTCGTCACCTCCCAGCTCCCTCCCTACGGCCAGCGCAGCGGCCCTTGATGGCAAGTCGTTTGATGGCGCGGTGCAACCCCGGATCATTCAGTCTCTTCACGGAGTTTCTTCACCGCCTTCCAAGCCGGCGGCGTCACAATTGCTCACCATGCACAGCACGCCGGATGACGTCATCAAGTACTACACATGGACCAGTGATCAGCCACGCTTGTATCTCAAGCAATCGCCCACAACCACCACTTTGGCGTCATTGATCTTGTGGGCCAATCACCCGTCCCGTCTCAACGGCAACAAGTCCTTGGATTCCATGGCGACGCAACTCCTTCAGGCGCGTCAACGCATGCCAAAAGGAGACGCACCTACGTTTGGGGCGATGGCGACTCTGTGGGGACTGGAGCCCGGCTACCTCACCAAGCTCACTGACAAGGCGCTGTGTCACCTCATCGTGACCGCCCGCTTACTCAGTGGGTGAGCAGTCCCTCTTGACGAACTTCGTTCACTTATGAGCCCGGAGCGGCAGCTGTGTCACGGTTGAGGAAAGGTTCAAAACTCGTCCGTCCTCTTCTTGCTTTGCACTTGTTTGATGATGCGCTTGTCTGTGCTTGCGTTGTCATTTGCTTGATATTAATTGCCGCTTGCATTCATGTCGCCGCCACACTGTAGATTTCATTGGTTGCATGTTCACCATGTTGGCTGAGCTTCGCCGCTGTGGAATCTATGATGATGTTGCACAATGGCATTCTCTGGACACCTTTCTACACTCGTTGACAATGTTCTCTACGTGCTGGCATTACTGCTTTCCTGGACTACCACCACCGGCGATACCAATAGATGAATACGAGTCAGTTGCACAACTACCTTGGTTGGGCCTTATTCTGGAAGTATTAGTTGTGGTCCGGATTGCACTTCAGATTCCGATTCACGCCATGTCACAATCTCACCACACTGTGGCCAACAGGTATGAACTTCACAGGTGCCGGTGCACGGCCTATTTATTGATCAGTTTCTTGCAGCGTCTCATTTCTCAAGATTATGGATATGTCCCACCGTTCTTCGAGGTTCTTCACTTCTACAAGACATCTCTGTTGTGCGAAATTATGCATCCCACTTTTGCAGACACGAGACATCTTCGCTCATTACGGACACGGTTTTCGGACCTCTATGACTTCATTCACGATCCAGGTCATCATCAACAACCATGCGTTTACATCCGACTTTCTCCATGGCACACACCATACTACGTTGGTGCAACTGATCAGGACGTTCTACGACGAGAACACTCACGCAGTCGCAAATTTCTACAACTACTTCGGGGACGTCATGCCTTCTTCGAACCTGCACTTCACTACTGGAAGCGCACCAACACTTACTGGCTTTTCTGTGCCATTCCGGTTGAGATCAAACTTCCCATTTCCTCGGTTTGGGTCCAGGAAAGCAAGTGGCAATACCTGCTGCGTCCGCATTTGAATGCACCCTGGGTACATAGACTTCTTCGAAAGGTGGGATTCCGGGAGCATCTCGTTGACTTTCGACGTCATTCGTTGTCGTCTCCCACCTCGCCCGGTCTACACAAGCGTTTTCGGCGACGACTACATCCGGATCTTCAACGGCAATTACGACCTGAAATGTTGGATGACATTCAAGCGCATTACTCCACTCTTTATCAGCTGGGATCCAACACAGGCGCATCGTTCCAGGCCATGCGAGACCTACTGTCGGCGGTTTTTCCTCCCACTCAGCTCTACTATACTTCCTGCGACTCTCCGTCTTTGTCAACGAGCCCTTTCGTTCAAAGGCACAGAAACTCCTCGCCCAGGTGATGCGCAAACGACAGCTCCAATCACCAAGCAGTTTGACACAACTACTTCTACCGCCTCTACATGTACGGAATTAGAAAGCTCAACTCGGCACGTGGTTACAACGTTGGGTCGCTTCACATCGTGACTTGTTCCCCTCCCTATTTCTTCCAAAGATCCGGGTGGTGGAAACTCGCAGCGCCACTTTGGGAGACAGAATCTACAACTACCGCACATGGCAACGCAGATGGACTCCTGACGTATCTTTTCCGTGTCGCTGTTCGGACATTGATGATCACCACCTGCACCGTGCGCATGAACATGCAGTAATGGTGGATGAGTTCTCACGCATCAATGCGGACATCGACATGGATATCATGGCCGCGTCCATGAAGGATCAGTATTTTGGCGATGCTGACTTGTTGCATCAGCGTTTTACCACACAGCTTCGCAAACTAGCTCGTCGGTGGCATGTACATGGCTCCAGTCTTCTTACTCATCTACGGCCTGTTTTGACTCAGTTGATTGATACCCATCGATCCAACCTTCAAGATCGTGCTTATTGGTCATCCACATCACTACAACGAACCGTGGCTTCTCTGTCCTCGTGGGTTGTAATTGCCGCGGATCATTTTCCCTCTCGTGCACATGTGATTTGCCCGTCGTTGTTCGCCATACTGATGCACAAGACCTTTTGCTCGGGACAAGTCTTTTCGCTGTGTCGAGAATCTGCAGCATCTTTTCGCTCTGAAGTGGTCACTACGATACCTTCTCTCCTACATCAACGCTACGCGTGGGGACTTCGACTTCAAGCACCGTTGCCTACAGCTCGCATCCTTCCAAAGCCGACCAAGGACTGGCAGAAAGCAAGACCCATCATTTCTTTCTTTCGCACGTGGGCAGCTCCCTTCCTCACGGTCTTCGGCGCCCTCATTTTTGAACTTACCAAAGTTACCTTTCCCGACATACCAGGACAGCTTTCGGTCCAAGAACTTGTCCAACAGCTATGAGACGCGCTGTCAAAGGCAGATCCCGCCGAATACATCCACCTGGTGTCTCAGGACCTGTCCGGTTTCTTCACGTCCATTCCTACGGAGCGTTTCCATCAGGCACTACAGGTGCTTCTTCATCGTTATGACCAAGTAGTTGGCCTACGCCGATCCTCACAATGGTCGGTGTACGAATTGAAGTCAGATCATCGACGCCGCATGTTCAAAGGAAAATGGCGTCGTCAA